CACACACACACACACACTCCAGTCCGGTGACCCCATACTCATTCTCATTGCAAGCCGCTCTTTGTGCATTCGATAACCGGCTTGTCGCTGGCAAGCCGCTCTCCCCTGGTAGTGTCCTCATCTCTCAAGATGGTGTATTTGCCCTGGGATTCTTCTTCCCGTCCAACTCCACCAAGAACCATCACTATGTTGGCATATGGTACAACGGAATCCCGGAACGCACCGTGGTATGGGTTTCTAACCGTGCGGCGCCGATCACCACTAACCTTTCCTCTGCAAATCTTGCCGTCACCAGCAGCTCCGACATAGTCCTGTATGATAGCGATGGTCATGTCCTCTGGACAACGAACAACAACATCAGCATCGACAAGGACGCCGTCGCCTCGGTGGAAGCAGTGTTGGACAACACTGGAAACTTCATCCTTAGATCGCTAGCTGACAGTGCCATACTATGGCAAAGCTTCGACCACCCTACTGACACCCTCGTACCCGGCATGAACCTCAGGCTCAGCCACAACACGCTTCCATTGCAGCACCTCGTCTCTTGGAAAGGCCAACATGACCCATCCCCCGGTGAGTTCTCCTACGGCGCAAACCCTAAAAGCCTCCTCCAGTGCTTCATCTGGAATGGCTCCAGACCACACCTGCGAAGCCCGGTGTGGACAAACTACCTCAACATGGACAGATTCAAAAAGTCTGCCATTTACATGGCCTTACATTACACCGGCGATGAGGTGTACATGTCCTTCGGCATGCCGACTGGTTCCTTCATCCTGCTGGTCAGGATGGAGATTGACTACTCGGGCAAGGTAAATATACTAAGCTGGGATAGCAACATGTTGGTATGGAGAGCTCTTTATGTAGAGCCTCAACATGAGTGCAATATGTATGGCTATTGCGGTCCTTATGGTTACTGCGACAACACAGAAATCGTCCCTGTCTGCAAGTGCCTTGACGGTTTTGAGCCGACAGATGGTAAAGGATGGATCGCCGGTAGCTTCTCACAGGGATGCCGCCCGAAGGAGGTGCGAAGGTGCACCCATGGAGACGGTTTCCTAGCCTTTCCAGGCATGAAGGTCCCTGACAAATTCCTCCATGTCTTGAGCAAAAGCTTTGACGAGTGCACGGAGGAATGTAGAAGCAATTGCTCCTGCGTGGCATATGCTTACTCCAGGATGAGCAACATGGATATTGATGGAGATGACACAAGATGCTTGGTATGGATGGGAGATTTGATCGACATGGTGAACAACACTCAAGGAGGGGAGAACCTCTATGTTCGGACTAGAATATTGCAAGGTATGCATGATTCCTTGCTCCTCTTTGTCTAGTTGTTTCTCTATCTTTTACTAGTACAAGTAGATAGAGATAGATTCTCTTCACTTATTTTATGTGAAGAGAAAAATTGGAGAAATAGTGCCCTCATATTTTTATTCAAGAAAGGAGTCTGCTATGAATGTGGTGATAAGCACTGACAAACTTTGGTGATTCTCCTTACATTAATTTTTGTGCAGGTGACATGAGAAAGATCAAAACCCTAGAAATTGTATTATCAGTTGTTTCAAGTTTTCTGGTACTCATATGCGTGGGGCTTATTTGGATATATGCTTTTAGAGGTTGGAAATTATTGCTTTAGTTCTAAATTTGATGTCATCTCTAGTCCCAAGAAACTAAAGAGACGGTACTCACACTGCTGATAGGCAATCAAGGAAGCAAGGTTGTCTGGGAAAGGTTGATGCGGCGGGATACAAGAAATTACAATGAGCTCACTAATAGTAACACAGAGTTTCCCATTTTTAACTTCAGGGCAATTGCTGCCGCGACAAATAATTTCACTGAATCCAACATTCTTGGCAAAGGAGGCTTTGGCAATGTTTATAAGGCAAGAAGTATTTGTACTTATTATTATATTTCTCTCTCTTTTTTCCAAGGGAGATAGTTAGATCATTAATGGAAGATCCAACTTTCTTCACTCAATAATACCTCATGCATGTTTCAGGGAAGGTTGGAAGATCGTAAGGAAATTGCTGTGAAAAGGCTTCGTGTAGGTTCTGTCCAAGGGGCAGTGGAGTTCAAAAATGAAATAGCTCTGATTTCCAGGTTGCAGCACAAAAACTTGGTGGAACTTCTAGGCTACAGTATTCATGAAGATGAAAAGCTTTTGATTTATGAATACCTACCTAACCGAAGTTTGGATTACTTCATTTTCAGTAGGTTCTGCTCACTTGTTGCTAAATCTTTACTTTTGGTCAAACGTCGCTGATAAGATGATTTATCTAATTCTGTCCCTGACAGATGGTACAAGAAAATTGCTGCTAAACTGGTCCACGAGATTTAAGATAATCAGGGGTGTAGCCAGGGGCCTTGTTTATCTTCACCAAGATTCCAGATTGATGATGATTCATAGAGATCTCAAAGCAAGTAACATATTGTTGGATGTTGAGATGAGCCCCAAAATTTCTGATTTTGGTATAGCTAGGCTCTTTGGTGTCCATGAACAGGAAGGACATACCGATCGAGTTGTTGGAACATTGTGAGTAGTGAGGAATTTCATTTATGTGATCTCTCAACTTCTGTGCTTCAACTGGTTTATAATTTTAAATTTACCGTGGTTAATTCTCAAAGCAGGGGATACATGTCGCCGGAATACGCAATGGAAGGCATCATCTCTGTAAAATCCGATGTTTACAGCTTTGGCATATTACTTCTAGAGATTGTAAGTGGCATGAAAATCGGCACCACAACCCCAAGCGCACATGCACGCACTCATAACCTTATAGATTATGTAAGTGTTTCGTACTTTATTAGTGATTATGGCTGCGTGCATCTTTTGATGCAGAGGTTGGGTGTTATCGTCCTTTTTGGAAAAATAACTTTATTTAGTGATCAGAACTTGTTCAACTGATATGAAGGGGTGCTACTTTGTACTTAATTAATGACATGATTGGTTTGATGCAGGCATGGAGCTTAAGGAAGTATGGGAAAATGATGGATCTAGTCGACTCATCTATCGTAGAGGGTTGCTCTCTCGTTGAACCTCTACGATGCATACATATCGGACTCTTGTCGGTGCAGGACGACCCAAACGCTCGCCCCCCCATGTCTTGGGTGATAGCAAGCTTGGAGAACGAAGATATTGAGCTCCCGCAGCCAGAAGAGCCTATGTGCTTTGCACGCTGTAACTACGGAGCTGGCGAAAGCCAAGTACATGACATAAGCCTCAAAAACCTCAAGGGGTGCTAGAAAATCGTTGGCCATGTCTTGTCCTTGTGACCCTAATATCTTCCATGTACTTACCTGCTCGGTTCTACACGATACTAGTTGAGCTCTCTCACCACTAGGATTGTAATTTGTGCTTGTAATCTGTATGCTTGTAACTTTAATGTGTAATACGGTTGTCCTCTTCTTCTCCTTCATTGGTTGTCTCGATAACTAAGTATTTGGAACAAGTTCTAGCAAAATCAGTTTTAAGAGGATTTTTACGGAAAACCAGTTTTAAGTTGTTCGCTTGTCAAAATTGGTTTGTAGAGTACTTTATTTGGGCTTAAAAACTTCAAATATGGCACTAGTTTGCCTAAGACGAGTATTGAATGGATTTTCATCTCACAACTGAATGTGCATGAGATCATAGGTTTTGGATCCCAAGTGGACCTTTTTTCTTGAGGGGCACCGGAATTCACGGTTACCACGGTAACCGTGAAATTCCGAAAAAAAATCGAACGGAATTAATAATCAAATTTTGAATTCAAATTTTTTAAGAACGATATAAATAGCTATTTGACTCTACGTATCATCTACGTTACCCTGGACTAGTGGCTATTCGACCACAGCTGGGTCTTTCTCGCTCGTCACGGGTTTGAGCCCTGGTCGTGCAGCTTTTTTTTTTTAAGTTTTGCACTCTCAAAAAGTTAAAACATGAGAGCCGAAAGTCTAACCCGCGTCTCCCAGACGAGGGAAGGTTCGCTTTACCACCAGGCCACGACGAGTTCTGTCACTATGGAAGAGATGACCTATATTTAACTATACTGTGAGAATTTGAATTCAAAATTTTCAAATTATTCAAGATTTTTTGCTGGATATGAATGTTTCTCGAGGGTGGACGGTAAACGCGGTAACCGCGCGGAACCTCGGAATTTCGCTTGGTTACCAAAACGAGGGATCATACTCGGCCTCCTGTTCTCTAAATCTTCTTCTTCTTCAAAGCATTGATGCACATACTTGGTCTCCTCTTCCACGAGCGGTAGAATTGCTGGCATGGTCACCAAAGGGCATAAGTCTGGTCGATGAGCCTATATCACCTCGTCGTCGAATGAGACGACCTTGATCATCGGCACGACGGTGGACGTCGTGAAAGGGTTGCATGCCGATGAGCGCCTCAAGGAGCAGCACACTAAGACGTCGCTCTACGACTGTGGTCTTTGGTCTCTGAGGGAGTCCTGGATTAGGGGGTATCCGGACAGCCGGACTATATCCTTTGGCCGGACTGTTGGACTATGAAGATACAAGATTGAAGACTTCGTCCCGTGTCCGGATGGGACTCTCCTTGGCGTGGAAGGCAAACTTGGCGGTACAGATATGTAGATCTCCTTCCTTGTAACCGACTCTGTGTAACCCTAGCCCCATTCGGTGTCTATATAAACCGGAGGGTTTAGTCCGTAGGACCAAGAACAACAATCATACCATAGGCTAGCTTCTAGGGTTTAGCCTCTTCGATCTTGTGGTAGATCAACTCTTGTAATACTCATATCATCAAGATCAATCAAGCAGGAGTAGGGTTTTGTCTCCATCGAGAGGGCCCGAACCTGGGTAAAAACATCGCGTCCCACGTCTCCTGTTACCATCCGCCTAGACGCACAGTTCGGGACCCCCTACCCGAGATCCGCCGGTTTTGACACCGACATTGGTGCTTTCATTGAGAGTTCCTCTGTGTCGTCATCGTTAGGCTGGATGGCCCCTTCAATCATCGATAGCGATGCGGTCCGGGGTGAGACTTTTCTCCTCGGACAGATCTTTGTATTCGGCGGCTTCGCATTGCGGGCCAACTCGCTTGGCCATCTGGAGCAGATCGAGAGTTACGCCCCTGGCCACCAGGTCAGGTTTGCAAGCATAAACCACACGGCCGACATCCACGGAGTCTTGATCTTCGACGGATTCGAGCCCTTGCCGAGTGCGCTGCACGGTCACGATGAGCATGATTTAGCTCTACCATCTGGCAGTGTTTGGGAGATCGCACCGGCGACCGCTCCGACCCTCAATTCGGAGCCAGTTGCGCTATCCAAGGACGGGTGGATAGACCCCGCCACGGAGGCCGCATCTTCAGCGGCGATCGAGCCAAATACCGACCTTACCCTTCACGGGAGCCATGACGCCGAACTGCCGGATTCTTCCCCAGCCACGGACTCCGAACCGCCTGCGCCCGTGCCTATCGAATCCAACCGGGCGCCAATCATGGAGTTCACCTCTGCGGATATCTTTCAGCACTCGCCCTTTGACGACATACTGAACTCATTAAGGTCTCTCTCCTTGTCAGGAGAGTCATGGCCGAACTATGGCCGGCCAGATCGGGATGTGGACGACGAAGAAATTCGCCGCCCGCCCACCACCCACTTAGTAGCCACCGTCGACGATTTGACCGACATGCTCGCCTTCGACTCCGAAAACATCGACGGTATGGACGACGATGCAGGAGACGAACAGGAGCCACTGCCCACAGGGCACTGGACGCCCACTTCATCATATGATGTATACATGGTGGATACACCCAAAGAAAACGACGACGAGGAACAGAAGGACGCAGCGAAGGATCGTTCCCTCGAGAAGCAGTCAAAGCGGTGGCGTAAGCGCCGCTCCAAATCCCGCCTCGGCAGAAACAACAATCATATAGACCCAGCGATAGAGCAGGGTGAGCCAGCGGATGACAAACACGGCATTGAACCACCGTACGACCACGGCAACACGGAGAATCAAACCGAACAACCCGTCTCCGGTGAAGATAACAGTCCGGATGACATCACACCGGATAGGCACCCGGAGCAACAGAATACCCATCAAAGGCTTGTTGCCACTGCGAGGAGTCTGAAAAAGCAGAAGCAAAGGCTCAGGGCTGCACAAGACACACTCAGAATTAGATGGAGTAAAGTACTCAACACTACAGCAAAGTACGGCGGTAGTCGCCACACAAAGAGCTACCCGAAGCGAAAGCTGCTACCTGAATTCGATGATGAGGCCTTAGATCCCCCGCAATCAAAAAACAAAACAACCATACGGTCGGATAGACGACCTCATGGCCAACATAGAGCGGCAAACGACGCCGCACACAAGCCAGTACGCGATCCACGCGAGGGCTCGCATCAAAAGGACGGCGTAACCAGATCCATCTACGGGCCAAGCAAGCGCGCTCCAGCACGCAATGCAACACAACAAAAATCCGAACACCACGGTACACCCAAATACAGGGGTGCCACACACCCCCTATGTTTCACCGATGAGGTGCTGGACCATGAATTTCCAGAGGGATTCAAACCCGTAAACATAGAGGCGTACGACGGAACGACAGACCCTGGGGTCTGGATTGAGGACTACATCCTCCATATCCACATGGCTCGAGGAGATGATCTCCATGCCATCAAGTACTTACCCCTCAAGTTCAAAGGGCCAGCTCGGCACTAGCTTAAAAGCCTCCCCGAAAACTCCATTGGAAGCTGGGAAGAGCTCGAGGACGCTTTTCGGGCAAATTTTCAAGGGACCTATGTCCGACCACCGGATGCAGACGATTTAAGTCATATAACTCAACAGCTCAGAGAGTCAGCCCGAAAGCTTTGGAACAAGTTTCTCACTAAAAAGAACCAAATAGTCGACTGTCCGGACGCTGAAGCCTTAGCAGCTTTCAAGCACAGCGTTCGAGACGAATGGCTTGCCAGACACCTCGGCCACGAAAAGCTGAGAACAATGGCAGCATTAACAAGCCTCATGACCCGCTTTTGCGCGGGCGAGGACAGCTGGTTAGCCCGATGTAGCACCAGCGACCCACGTACATCCGAAGTCAGGAACGGAAACGGGAAGCCACAATGCAGCAAAAACAAGCGCCAGAATAAAGAAGACAGCCCAAAGAGCACGACGGTAAACGCCGGATTCAGAAGCTCTTGGCCAGGTCAGCAAAAGCTGCCCTCCAAAGGCAACAGACATGAACTTTCCAGCCTGAACAAGATTCTGGACAAACTATGTTAGATCCACAGCACCCTTGATAAACCTGCAAATCATACCCATAGAGAATGTTGGGTCTTCAAGCAGTCCGGCAAACTCAACGCCGAACACAAGGGGCAGGATACACCAAGCGAAACGAGGATGAGCCTCGCAAGCAAAGCACTGGGGAACAGAAGAAATTCTCACCAGAAGTCAAAATAGTAAACGTGTTACACGTGATGAAGGGGAGAAACAAAGCGGCACTCCTAGAGACACATGCCCCAGGGCCTATCAGCGCGGAGTTCTGCCACTGGTCGTCCAAACCGATCACCTTTGACCATCAGGATTACTCGGCAAGTATCCGGCATGCAAGATGGGCTGCCTTGGTGTTAGACCCGATAATTGACGGATACGACTTCACATGAGTCCTGATGGACGACGGCAATAGTTTAAACCTGATATATCAGGACACAGTCCGCAAAATGGGGATAGACCCAACAAAAATCAGCCATAGCAATACTACATTTAAAGGAGAAACGCCAGGCCCAGAAGCCCATTGCACGGGCTCCCTGCTACTAGAGGTTATATTCGGCTTTCTCGATAACTTCCGCAGTGAAAAGTTAATCTTCCACATCGCTCCGTTCCAAAGTGGCTATCAAGCACTACTCGGACGTGAAGCTTTCGCTTGCTTTAACGCAATACCGCATTACGCTTCTCTCATGCTTAACATAATATTCTTCGAGCACTGAGCCTCTATCGAACGAGCGCCTTCAAGGACTTCTTCAAAGTAGTGCTCACCAGCCACTCAGCCTACGGCCGAACCCTGTGTTGCAACAATGGTGGCCTCCATCTCCGCTCAGTATGTCTTGACACGGGCAAAGGCCATCCGCGCACCCTCTATGCACGCCGATCTCTTTACAGCATCGATGCGTGGCACAGCACCAAGGAACTGCTGCACCAAACTAAAATAACTGTTCGGCTTTGGCCTTTCCGGCCACAGATGATCCACAACAGACCTCATGGTGAGTCCGGACAATCTATTCAGCTCGGCCCATTCGGCC